GGAACTGAATAGATCTTTAGGAATAAGCTAGATAACCTAGAATATATTGTTAGAAATAAAGTAAAATTAGTCAAACAAGGGTATTCACAAGTGGACAGGATAAACTTTGAAAAAACCTTTCCAACCATGGTAAAACTACAAAGACATTAAACTACATCCTTCTTAAACTTTCTATGAGAAACTTGAAACTCATTTAAATGGATGACAAAAGTGTAATCTAATGACTTTACCGACCAAAATAGCTTTCTATACCAACCCCTGTTATTTGAATATATCGATTATCCATATCATACTTATTCTTCAAAGAAATATTTGTATAAACTGAAATAGGCTATTAGATAATGGAATAATAAATTAAGCACATAATAATTTTAGTGAGGTTATAAAAGATACCGCACAATGCATGAAGAAACTAGGAGATAATAAAATATTTTTTAAGATTTATGTATATGAATATCATTTAGAAATAAAAATTAGCCTTTGTATTATAAGTTCTCATTTATCTTGAGTAAAAAGTTGGAAGTGAGCATGATGGAGAACTAAACATTCAATAGGATTTCAAGTCAAGCAATACAAAAGTGACAATTTCATCTATCAAGCAAAATACACTAATGATTTGACATGAAAATATACCAATCTAGTAAAATCACACTAGACAAACCACTAAATTAGATTTAAATGATTCAGAAAAAACTATTATATCTTATTACAAGTAATACATATTTTATGTTTGTTTTTGATTTATTTGCACATTTTCAAACAAAACACAAGGAACCGCATTTAACTGCAATAAGTGTATATTTAGTTATTTGATTAACACATCTAAATAGGTTTGTAGCATCCAAAAAAAAAAATAATTGTATTTGGAACTAATTAGTTATTCTATTGTTGGCTATGTTGGAAGCAATGTCTATCAGAAAAACATATCTTCCACCTCTTAATTTATAGGATCTTCACCCATGTCTTAGTCCTACAAGAAGAATTATATGGCCTTTATCCCTATAAAGCCTTACTAATGTTGATTGGCATAGCTATGCTGCACAAAATGTTTTGGTTGTCAACAAACAGAAGACTATGAAGGCAGGCTATAATTCATTCTAGTAAAGTGTACAACATAAGTACAATTAGCCTGACTAAAATTATAAATTAGCAATCACAAGCCCAACATATTGAGAATGGACATCATTTTTATTAGATATCATATGGATGAAAAAATGTCAATCTTTAGAATGTTGACATATTTACAAAACAATTAAAAGAAGAAAATTTTGTTAATTGTGAAGAAAATTAGGCATGATAGAATCTCATGTTAGGCATGATTATCAGTATGTATTTTACAATATTATCTATGCTTAACCTCTTCACTTTGGGATTTCTTATTAAGTTGCCGTAGAGAATATATATGTTAATATTCTAAGCTTATATTACTCATAGATTTATGGGGATGTTTAGTTATATAATCAAGAAAATATATAAATATAATAGTCATCCCATTCATGGATTAAATAAAAGAAAATAAAAGTCTAAGAGACAGATAGGTCAATTTTGTATTTGTCAAATGCTCTTTTTTTGCTTTTGGCTCAAGCTATCATTGGGAAATTCACCAAGAGAATTATTTCAAATTTATCAAAATTAATTTATATTTTAATATTATTTAAAAATAGTTAAATAGATTTTATCAAAAAATTTTAGGGCATTATAATGAATATATTTTTATTTTTTGATTTATTATTTAATTAAGATTGAAATGGAATTAAATAAATAATTATTCTATAATTAAAAATTTGCCTTCCAATTTTTTTTTCATTAGATCTATCATGCTATTACATACAAAATTATATATAATATGTTATAAGTGTTATTTATATTCATCAAATTAAGTTTAATACAAAATCCAAAAGAATTACAAGCTTGTCACTACAAACAACTCAGACTCACATGCAATAAAGAACACCAAAGTCACTCCAGTGTGCTCACATCAAGACACCAAGTGACCCAACTAGCATAGTAAAAATAACATGCATACTAAACTGTTTTTGTTGCTCTTTTTGGATAACTAAAAAAAAGATTTACTTTCTAAAATGTTGCTTAGTATTTTGGTATTAATTTGAGTTTATAAATAACGACAAACCTCAGCTTAAGAAACAACTGAAATTCTGACTAAAAATATTTTATGCTCTAATCTTCCAAAGCAAAATTTAATAAATCTATTTATGTTTTTCCAATGGCTGAAATTTCATTCCCGAAGCTTGAAAACAATCAAACTTCATATTATTTCCAAGTCCCTAGGTGTTAATTTTCAATCAGAGTTTACAATATCACTCTTTTTTTTTCTTTTGTTTACTTGCAATATTTTGTCAAATCTCTTTGTTAAATATTTTTAATTTGTTTTAGCTTTCTATTACCAAGTTTAGGATAAACTTAGTGAGCCTTTCACACATTGTATTTTTAGTCTTGGGTTCCAATTGCCTATTAAAAAGATTGTGCTAGGTTTGTGACAATGTCTCCACAAGCATGAAGAGCAAAGGAGTTTAGCTTATGTTAGTAATTATGGAGAGTGAAATCCTAATATGGAAGAGAATTAGGCATGGATTTAGAAAGGTTGAGATAAAATCATGTAAAATTTTATTTTTTGTGTTTTTCAACATGCACTTCCTTTTATTTACTTTTAACATCATTTTAATTTGCACATCATTCATTTATTTACAATATGTTTTTATAACGCCGATTTAAACTCCCTCTTGGTTGGCCTACCCTTCATTTATCACATATGATAACAACAAAAGGAAGTGGTCTCGGGATTGACAGCGGCGGGAATGTGATGATAACGATGGCAAGTTGGGTCGGGGACATCAAAGGATCTACTAAGTTCACACCAATTCAAACCCCCTTTTGGTTGGCCATAGCCTTCATTTATCATATATGATGACAACAAAAGGAGGTGGAATCAAGGTTGATAGAGGCAGGAATGTGATGACAACAATGGCAAGATGGATTGAGGACATCAAAGGATCTCTCGAGTTCGCCGTGAGAAAGAGAAGAAATTGGTTTGAATGCATTTCATCCACTAAGAAAATGGGGTGTGGAGAATTTCCAATACATCAAAATTTTACTTTGCATCCATTTATTTTAAGTCAAACACCAAAAGTGCCATGCATGCAAAAGAAATATAGTAAACCCATGTCACTTGCAACTGCATGGCCCTTAGTACAATAAAGGGTGACAAGTTGCCTTCAAGGACTTACATAATAGGTAGTTCATAAGAAAGCATGTTTATCATTCGATAGAATTTTGCTCCAACTTCACATAACAAAAACAGCAAATGAGAAAGTTTTGGCCCTAAAGTCATTAAAAAAATGTGCAACTTACAAATTTTTAGAGTTCACATTGTTATTTAAGCTACTTCTTTTAAAGGGCATGAGGAAATTAGTTTCATCGCAAATTGATTTACTAAAAATATGATGGTGCAGAAATGTTGATGGCTAGCTCTCAACCACGAACTTAAGTTTTTTGATTAAAAATAGGCTTGATGCATGGTATAAGGACAAAGTTTGGTCCTACTTAAGTCTACGATTCCTGAGTGGTTTAATAGTTTGTGGCTCCCATGAGTATTGGTAATTCCAACGATGGTTGAATGAGATTCAAAAGTGGGTACACAAACTTTACGTAAATGAGTGAAATTTAAATGCACAAGTTCAAATGGAATTAAAAACTTTCCTTCAAGGAAGGAGGGAAATGGCAATTAATGAGGAGAGTTCTCACATTAGTGACATATTCATTAAGACATGCAAGGGTGCCAGTTTAGTCCCACCTCGGATTGTTGAGAAATATGTTAATTACCAATACTAGCAATTTGAATTAAAACTTTTGAGTTGAAAACAAGTTTGAAAAAAAATGTGCATTAAGTCTACAGAAATTCCACTATTAGTCTACAACTCTTGAGAGTTTATTTGTAGCACTAGAATAGGAAAGCAGAAAAGAGTGACTTCGCATTCATATGAGAGAATGAGAAAGATATTTGTCTCTTCCATTGCAAACAAATTAAAATTTTATTTTTTAAAGCAATGCATAGTTGTGACTCATGCTATGTAGTGATCCCAATATCATAACACCATATTTCCCAAAAATTAACTTTGACAAAGTCTCTCAAAGCATACAATTATTAATCTCACCAATAGAGTAATACAAAAAACTATCCTATCTACCTATCATAGAGTTTAAAAGTTACTAATCTATGTTACCACCTATCATTATAACTACAATGTATAACGAACAAAGCTCAATCGCCCATGGCAATGCAACACAGCTAGTGGTTCGACCCTACTATCCATGAATAGTAATAACAAGAACCCACTCATAAACCCAAAAAAAAAAAGTTGTCTCCAAGGTTTCTAAATATAGCTATTAACTGGGTTTTTGAACCTTCTCGTCAAATACCTAATTTATAGCAAAGTTTCCACATTTCAAAATAAGAAAAAGAAGCATTAGGTATTGACATTACCAACCTAATAAACAAACTTGAACTGCCGCAATATGAAGTTATTTGTCTTTTCCAAATCACGTCGCCTTCTAAGTCATAACCTGAATCTAAAACACAAAAATATTGGCTCGATCTCCAATGTACCCTAAGGAGAGTACCGGAAAAAATTGTAGATAAGCTGCTCAGTGAACTAGAACAGCACAAGTCAGCCAATTAAGCACTGAAGCTTGGAGTCACCTAAAGTAGAGCTATCGACCACCAAAAGCTACAATAAAATAAAATTAAGCAACAATCCAGGGAGTTCACATACAAATTTATATTTCAGGCCCGTTTTCTTATCCGGTTCCCTACCCACGTGCCTACTAATTTACAAGGCACCTCGCACCAACCGCATGTCTCCGGTATTGAAGGCCTCGGATCATATGTTTGACACTTGAAGAAATCAATAAAAATAGTGCAGGGTTCTAAGAATTAAGAGAAACAAGACGGGGTAAGGTAATCGGGAAAGTTAAAGAGATACCTTTGATCCCAAGAGAGGTCTGCCCGGATCCGACAGCCATTAGAGCGTGCTCTATCTGTACGAGCTTCCCTGAAGGACTGAAAAAAAAAATGAACACAGAATTAAGAAGCCAAAAAAATTGCCGGGCGGCGGTAGAAAAAGGAAGAGGAGAAAACGGAGCAAAATGGAGATATATGAACCTGAAGGTGGTGAGAGAGAAAGAGTACTGACTATCGCCCATCGTCCGGTCACCGAACTGAGAGAAATCCGGGAACTGCTGTGCCACCAGGCAGCTTCTTCCAAGGCGATCGGGAAAGTGAACCCTCACGCAAGACAGTGTTTGCGAGGAAAAATTATTCAACGTGCGGTAGCGATAAAAGGGAAAGTGGAATAATGGCCAAACATCAAAAAAAAAAATTTAAAGGTACTTTTTTTTATTTTTGTATCCCCTCAAATTGAAAAAAACAATATTTGTTTTCATTTCGATCTTGATTTTAGAAATTATTTTTAATTGTTTTCTTTTTCCATTTGTGTTCGTTAAATCATCTGATGGAATTCTCTTTCGACCAAGAAATATTGATGTAATCGCAAAATAATTGCGATAATGATGTCAATGAGCTGAGCTCCCATTTGTGTTTGTATTGACTGAGTAAATCATCTAATGAAATTCTCTTTCGACCAAGAAATATTGATGTAATCGTAAAATAATTGCGATAATGATGTCAATGAGCTGAGCTTATTAGCTGCGACAGGAAGCATTTCGCATGTGAACTTATTTCTTTGTAATTACCGGTGTCATTAATGTCGTCCTAATTATAATATTGTGGAGCTATTCTGGTGTGATTATTATTATTTGATTGCAATGTTACTATTATGTTAGAGGGTGATCGTGGTGTTATTTAGGTATTATCATGGTGTTATAATTGTAGTATTGGTTCTAATTACCAGTTTAGTTAGAATTTTATGTTGACTGGTATTGTGGTTGTTTTTGTCCTAATTTTTTGCTTATAATTGTAGTTAGGTGTTATTTAGGTTTTATCTTGGGGTTATACTAGTGTTATTGGATCTAATTAATGGTTTTATTGGAGTGTTATATTGTCATTATAATTAGTGATATTTTGGTGTTGTTTTGGTGGAATTATGATATTATATTTGTATTATTTCTGTCTTATTGGCTTTGAAATATACATTTGTGTTATTGTTGTATTATTATTGTGGTATTATGTATTATGGTATTATTTATGTATCATTTTATACTACTCTTATTGGATTTAATAAATGCTTTTCTTGAAGTGTTATTTTTGTCATTCCAATGGTGGTATGTTGAAATTTGCAGTTCCCTGAGTCTGTAACTGTGTGGATTGATCCAATTGCAGATAGCTTACTTCGCGCAGTGGTTCATAATGAGAAGAAAGCCTATGAACAATATTGTGCATATGCACACCAAATTGGATTCACTATAAGAAAGAACCACATTGGTTTTTGGTCGAATTAAAAAATGATTAAGACAGAGGATTTTATTTTGTGGTAATGCTGGTTTCAAGAAAGAATTGAATAACAATGTGACGATGAAGTACAGAAGATGAGACACAAGGATTGTCGAAGGTAACCGGTCAGTTAAGTAATTTACAAAATGTTATAATCATCCTTTGGCGGCGAACGATGACAAATATTTATTGTGTTCCAGCTGAAAGATGAGTGATATCAATGCAGGAGTGCTCAGATCGATGACACAATCAGAGATTAGAACAAGCTATGCATTTAGTTTTTTGGCTGCAGAATTCGGGGGTGTGGAAAATCTTGGTTGCACGAAGAGGGATGCTTATACTTTCATACAAAGAGAGAGAAGAGTTAAAATTGAACATGGGGACGATAATTCTCTACTACGATTGTTCACTGAGAGGCAAGTTGAGGATACGATGTTTGCATGGGACGTCCAAATTGATGAGTCTAATATTTTGTTGAATTTCTTTTGGAGTGATGGGACATCCAGGCTTGATTACGATTGCTTTGGGGATAACATAATATTTGATATAAGTTATAGACTAAATAAATACAATTTATGTTGTGCTCATATTGTCAGTGTGAACCACCACTAACAGAATGTTTTATTTGGAGTTGGCTTTTTGTCAGATAAAATAGTTGCCTCATTCAAGGGCTATTCAATTCATTTATCTATATAATGGATAACAAGCACCTGAGAACAATATTCACTGACCAGGATCAAGCAATGGTCAGAGCAATTGAAGAGTGTATGTCGCACACCAGACATAGATTATGCCAATGACATATTTACAAGAAATTATTTTCAAAAGTACATTGTGGTGTGAGCACCAAAAGAGTCAATGAGCATTTTTATAAATGCATGGGTAGATGCAACTCCGATGAGGAGTTTGAAGAAACCTGGTGTACAATGATTGAGCTAGGAAATCTACACGAGAATGCTTGGTTGAATAGTTTGTACAATATCAGGCATAAATGGTTAACGACATTCAATAAGGAAATATTTGGGATGGGGATCCTATCAACGCAAAGAAGTGAGTCCATGAATGACATCTGTCGTGGTGCCTCAAAGCCAACAAACACCCTCACTGAAAGTTTTTTTGTTCTTGAAAATGTCATGAAATCTTGGCGAATGAATGAGAATGATGAAGATTTTAAATGTGAACAGTCTACAATGGTTCCCACTGACCAGAGAAATATATGTTGAGATTTTCATACATATTTTAT